AATTGTTAAAATAATCGCATATTAATTTCATTTATATAGTATATATAAATATATATATTTTTTATGCACACAGATTGTTTATATATATTTTTATTTATTTATTTAATTTTTATTATTTTACTGATTAATCATAAAGAAGTATTTTTCAATTAAATTTAATTAATAGCATTCAAAAATTTATTATACTTTAGCAACAAAAATAATTATATTAAAATTTAATATAAAATACTTAAATATTAAAATTTAATATAAAATACTTAGACATGTATTTAAACTTGAAGCTCTTCATAAAGTTTGCATATTGTGCATTCTGTTACTTACGTCGTTTCGTGGTGATGATTTTTTTCTGTCGGGTCACGAGAATTTAATTTATTCGAATTAATTTCGTCGCTTTCGCGCAATTCAAATTCAAAATTATTTCGGACTCGCAATACTTTTGTTCTCGGTGCTTTCAAACGATAAAAATCTCATTTTCCGCGAAGAGGTCCATTTCTACCTTTAAGTGCTGCGTCCACTTTTCACGGGAGAAGGACACAATGTCGTCCTCGGGTGCAGCATTTGATCTTTCGCGGGCCATTGTGGCTTTAGGGCTTTACGAGTCTCCTATGCGCCATGCCGCGAATTCATCTCGGTTATGAGGTTCCCAAATGAGGCGAGAGATTATAATAAGGAGGCGAACAGAGGGGAAACGTCAACGGCGACGCGACCCCAGGGGGATTGTGCGCACCGTTAAAAGAGAATGACTCTTGTTCGCCAGGAGTAAGAAGCGCTATAGCGGCATATTTTATTTAATAACACAAAAAATTTTATTCGCGAATTTTTTGTTCTACTTGTGCATTCAATTTTTCTTTCAAAAAATAATTTAATTGGACGCTCTTAATAAAAAGTCTGCGACGATTCGTAGGTAATTATTCAGCTAGTAAAAGCTTGTTTGATGCTAAATACACGATAAAATTCGATATTAAATATATTTTAAGCGTAACATAATTTATTTTCATCCATTGATGCATAATAAACATATGAAATTTTATTTACTTTCGTCATTTGTATACCTATGAGAAGTGTCTTACGAGGCATTAGATTTCGAAGTAAAGAAGCAGGCCTTTCGCAAGAGTTCATGGCCGAATCTCGCACGTAGAATTTTTTTTATCTCGAATATGCACGATGCAGTAATGTTACGATTATGGCAAAGCTCGGGTGGCCTCTGTGCTTCATCTAACGAGACTCTTCAGGAGTCTGCTTGCGCTTGATCGATGTCACCAAGATTTGCATAAATGTGCGCGCCGAGAGGCGCTCGAGAAAAAGAGACGCCGAGATTCAGAAGATATCGGGAGAGACGGAGTCTCGAATACCTATGTAAGATGCAGGAATCGACCGAACATCAAGGATAGATCAGGATAGATTTGATGAAGAAGGAAGGGAGGAAGGGAAGATAGACTGCTTGTCTCTCTGGCGGCGACAGGACGAGCTTGTCGTCGAGATTGAGAATCTACATGATCTTAAGAGAGATCCGGAGAATCTATGTTTATGCGATCGAGCAAAGAACATCTTATGAACATCTTTACGAAGGTGAGATTGGATTTGTATGCATATAAGACGAAGGCTAATTAATCACCGAGAAAGACTGTCGCGTCATGGTACAGAATCTCTTGTGTTATTATGCTCACATTGTCAATCTATCATATTCTTGATTATAATTATGATATTAGAAGTATATTTAAAGAGAAATGATCGATTTCGCACGATTAATATTATGAAATAAATGTACTTTTCGTTCGCGCTATTTCTAGCGAAATAAAATTTAAAAACTGACGCGAAATTGAACGCTGAAAAAAGGAGAAATGTAAAAGTATCAAGTGTAGAGGGATATTGGAAGTCCTGGGAAACTCTGGCAGAAATATCAGATATCGGAAAGAGCGTGGTAGATAGATTTCACGAGATATTCGCGGAGAACAATCTCGCCGTTATCACGCACAAGGGCTCATCATCTATCGATTATGGATTACCGTAGATCGAGTTTTACGATAATCTGAAACCCCCGGCTGGTGGTGAATTGATGTTTCTCTTACAATGTTTCTTCCCCGGAAGAGGAAAGGATGGGAGATTTCGCTCTAGTTGAGAACGGGATAACGGAAGGAGTGAAGTTTTGAGAATCAACGAAACGAATCTTTGATATCGAAATAAAAACAGAGAGATCAAACGAATTTTTCCGTAACAAATATCTATACTTATTAAATCGTTCATAAAATATATTTTAAATGAGCAATTCTCAAGTTTAATTTAGGGAGAACAAAATATTGCAAAAAAGATGTAATTGTCGCTCTACATCTTCCTGTCGTTTTATTTTTCTTTTTTTATCTTTCTTTAATAATTTTTTATTAATTTTTTTAAATAATTTTTTAAAATAAGAAATTATTTATATAATTTTTTATTTAGAAATAGAAGATATTTCTGCAAAAAAAATCACGATAATTTAACTTGGACAAAGTATGCATTTCGCGTATGGCAATCCTAGGTACCTGTCCAGATATCTCTATCTGAAGACTGAAAATAAAGTATTCTCTACTCTATCTGAAGACTGAAAATAAAGTATTCTCTACAAGCGATCTTGAAGAAAGAGGATAGGCGCATTGAGAGCGTACATCGTCACGTGGCGAAATTTCCAAAGTCGAGAACCGTACGTGAGGCACAAATAGGGCCAGAACCTAAAACGGACGACCAACCGAGCGCGAAAAGCCAGTTAAACGAGATCCGTCTGCCAGGTGGTTTCGATTCGCCGCAGGATGCTATTTGACTGCGCGCTTCGTCGGCTTATTGTGAATTCGAGACACGTCCCGCGACTTCCCGCGCTTCCCAGGACCCCCCCGCATAATGCCTTTTCCGTCGAATCAATGCTTTTCCGCTGGTTCCGTGTCTGATAGTTGCGCGGAGAATAATCTCGCCACATCTCGTGTTATCACGCCGTTATCGATTTCGAGTTTCCTTGGACGCGCGCCGAGGATCGCTTAATTGAAGTTGTTGCTCGTGGTGATGCTGGATCTCGTAGCGCTTCGCGATGTTTCAAAAGTTCCACTTTGGAGAGCGTGATTATCAAATATTACATTACTATTTATAATAATACATCAAAAAATACTTTCATCCAATATAATAATAAATTTAAAAATTTATTTTTCGTATATTGCATTAATATCAGGATATCTATTCCCTGAAAAAACATGGAACTCTTGGGGATTTTTTTGTACTTGAAGAAATCAGGAAATTCTCATGGAATTTTATTTTAACTTAATTTTTAAAAAATTGTTTCCGATGGGGTGCTTTTACTTTATAAACAATCTGCCGATAAACCAAGTTATAAATTATTTAAAATATGTTATAAATATATATCTATTTTTATTTATATTTAATATCTTAATAAAATATTGAATATATAGTATTTATTCTTTTTTCTTTTCTAAGTGATTAATTCTAGTGATAAAGTAATGAAAATGTTATAATAAGAAAAATGATTATATATTTTATGAAAGTCTATTTCATTTTTTTCGGTACATTTGCAAATCTAATATTTGAAATGTAAATGATTCTGTATTTTCTCTTTATATAAATGAAATTGAAGAACATTAGAAAATATATGCTAAAAAATAATTTATTTTAGAAAGTTGTGGAAAATCGTCTAAGATTTTTATCTGGAATTTTTTGTGAGCACTAATATTTGGAAGAGAAATATCATGGAATTTTCAGGGAATTTTTTTATAAGATTTGAGTGGATATCCTGAATATACATTTCCGTGCTCTTAAATTCTTATTTTTTTACGCTTCTTTCAACTATCTCTTGTATTTTCAGGGTATGTAAAATAATCGAAGAAAACATATCAATCTTCTCTCGCATGAAATCTAACTATATTTATAATAGATATTGTTATCAGAAGAATAATCATAAAGATTTTAATCAACAGTTATGCAGACATATCGCGGATACAATAAAAGTTATGCATTTTTTTTCGCTGACTTCTTATGGTGACGACGTGCTACTTCTGATACGAATGTTTTTTTTTATTCAGGTACGAATGTTTTTTTTTTTATTCGAACGATTCAATCGGGTTATCGAGATTTGCATAGGCGCGCATAAAATGAGAGCTTGCTTTGAAATACAATGGAATAAAGTTGAAGCCTAAGAGAGAGCGGGGGTAGACACTCGAAAAGAGAGAACGTGTATCTCTGTTTTTTGAAACTTTCAAGGGTACCCTTGAACTCGCTTTCTCTATGCTAGAGAAACCGTTCGATTGCTGATGCAATGTTGTAAATGAATATTTCGATGAAAGCTTGCGCCATGTCGTCATCGAGTTTTTATCAGAAGAGAACAATCTGCTGTTAAGATTATTCCTAATTTCGAGTCAAATACGTAAAAAATTTGTTTATCAAAAATCATTTTAGTTAGAATCTTAATCGATCCATGAATTTTTCATTTTTTCATTCAAATTAGAAAGCATATTTATATATTATGAGTAAAGAAAATAAGAGAAATAAAAATATATATTTACGAGGGATGACAATAATTAATATTTTATATAAGATTAAAAAATTCATAAACGACATCTGGGAGATAATAAATACAAATATGATGTAAATAAAAAATCGCTAATGAAATTAAGCCAGTCCGGAGTCCCTCTTGATATCGTTTATCTGTAGTAATCGGGCACGTATACTCAGATAAGATCAAATTCGTATCACTTCTCACTATGGTTGATTCCCTTCAAGCACATCATCGAACTTCGTAAGCGTTTTTTTTTCGACATGAAATTAACCTATTATGTAACATATTTTAGAGTGAATGACATTATTTTACGTAAAAATAGAATTATCAAAGTTTATATAAGAAATATATATATAATCATAAAATAATATATAAAAATATATATTCATATGAATATATTGTGTTATAAAAATAAAATTTTTATATGTTATAAAAATTATACATATTTTAACATGGATAATTTTTTTAGAAAAGGATGCTCCAACGTATTTGCGAGAATCTGCATAAGATCCCATCTTTGATCGATGCGATGATACTTAAATACACGATATATCCCAGGATTCAATGCGGACGCGAATAGCTATCAATCAAAAGATCAAGCTGATCCTTCGTCACTCAAGTGCAGTTTGCAATATCGGCTGATTTCCGTCACCCTTCCACACAGGATTGTGGGATCGCAACGTAAATTCGCTATCGCGCGTTGACACGATCCTGCGTAATCGAGCGATACATTCTCATAATCGAAGGGGTTCGGTGGATTTCGAGATAGGGTAAGAGAGTTTTCCTACCGACACAAAATTGGAAATCCTTCGCTTATGTACACGTTGCAACTCGGAGCAGATCGTTTGTATAAATTGATGTAGTATCAACAAAATGTAATCCGTCGAAATCCCTTCATTTTTAGTATCAAGAGATACTATTAAAACCTTATAATCAAAGATTTTCCAATTTAAATTTTCTTTAAATGAAAAAATGATGCATAATTTTATTATGCAATTTTTAATTGGAGAAAATAATAATATTAAAATTTAGCAGTTGTAAAAAAATCGATTAATATAATTTTGAAACTGTCAAAGTGTATATATTGCAAAGAATAAAGAAAATAAAACTGTATATATCAACTATATATATATATATATATCTGTGTATGTTTAATGCATCTGATTAAGAAAATTCGTCGGAGAGAAAATTATTTGGGCTTGTTATAAAAAGTATTACACTCCATCAAATATGCTTATTATTAAATATTGCGCATAAATCTCATATATTTACACACACAGAAACGTATATTACCAAGGCCATTAATAATATCGAATTTTGATCGCCTCTATTAAAGCCATTACCGTGAAATTTTGATAGGAAAAAACATCATTATTAACACATCGTGTTACAACGCATCGGCTCGCGCGTCCATCAAAGCAATTTTCGTTGAATTTCGTTAAGAGAAAAATCACGTATCTCGATACTCCGCGCAAATTATCGTCCTACCTGGCAAATACGCTCTCATCGTCGAAACAAAATACCTCTCGTATAAATCTCGCGAAATTACATTTCGAACATAGGAGGAACGTGATACCCGAGCCATTAATAACGTAGTAACGTTACAACATGCTGGAACGCGTCCATCAAAGTTACGGGAGCGCGTTACTATAAGTGCGTGAGACGTCCTCGTAAGCGAGGCGGTGGTCGAAGATATAATATCCTCTACGTCCAAGGGGATGCGTGAATGGTCAGAGCGACGGCAAAATTGAAACCGCACGTCTGTGGTGATGGTGGTGGTGCGGGTGCGGGTGCGGTGTTACACCGTCGTGGAGAGGCGAGAAGCGCACCCTCGGACGATCGATGGCCCCGGTTAGATCGTTCCATTATACAAGGATTTGCTCTCGACGACGTTGATGGGCTTCCAGGATGCTCCTCCTTCGTTCCTCCTGAAAGCGTCCCCGGCGCTTTAATGCGTCAACTGTGGAGGTAATCATTCCGGAAGCGAGCATTTTTGATCCCGGGTCGCCTCTGTGATCGTTCTGCACTTAAGAAACTTGGAAACTTGCCGATCGCCGGGATATTCTTGATGGACAAACCGATTCGCGTAATAATGAGAAAATATATATATATGTCGTAAAATCTATTCTTAAAAAAGGGCACGTTAAATCGATGTGTCATACTCGAATATCGAAAGCCTCCAAGTTTATCGTTGCTTCTCTCGAAAAATGACAATTTATTTTGATAAATACCCGTCACTCCGGTTATAGATTGTTAATAGTGAGAATTAATTTGTTAAATTTAAATTTGTTAAGTATTAATTTCTTAAATTTCTCTTGAAAACAAACATTTCATAAAAACATTAAAATATAAATTACATTAGATTTAAATATAAATTACATTTTTTTAAATATGAGTTAAGATTTTTATTTATAGATTTTGCGAGTTATTTTTTTTATTTTTATGAAAATATGATATTGTAATATTATAATATTTTGCATATACATATATCGGTATATTTTGCTTTACGTGACTTTACTTTGTAATCGCTCGAACTCTGTATCCTTTCGGGGAAAAACGTAATTATACGCTTCTGTTAGTGAAATATGCTTTTATGTAAATGCACTCACGCGGTTATGTCATGATAGTCGGATAAATCGCGAGAACCTCGTGGAGTCAGCAGATTGAAGCTTGTAAAGGCGTGCTTGTTCCCGTTTATTTCCGAATTAAAAGTATGTATGTCAAGTGGATACTTTCATCTTTTTATATCAAAGCGTCCGCGATAGAGATGGAAATAGAACGTTCGTTCCTAGGTTTTGTCTGCAAGACGATTATGCTTAATTAACATTTACGCGGAATTAATATTCCTTTCTCCCTTTGAAGGCGTTGAATGATGAAAGGAATCTCGGAATATAAAGTTGGCAAAGAATAATTCATCCATCTCAGAATCACAAATCACAGCTGACAGAGAAACGAAATAAATTTAACATGAAATAAATAATTTAAAAAATAAATGTTTTGTAAAAATTAAAACACACACTTTTGTAACAGAATTCTAATGTACTCGATTATTGAAAAATATATTATTAGTTTATAATAGTGTCACGTAAAACTTTTATACACTCTGATATTTTATAGATTTTACAACGAAATATTTTTTACGTCGTATAACTAAACATTCGTTGCTGTAAATTTTTGCAAAGAAAACATATGCAAAATGTATATGCATGTAAAATGTACATGTATTAATGTATGAATACAAAGTGTGTATCGGGAATTTTTATATAAAAAGAAATGCGTAATTATCGCATCACCCGCTATACCATCTGCTCCGGCAGCGAATGCAATTATCGAAATGCAGGTGCACAAGGGTGCGACATTGTCAATTTCGGCTCGTTGTTCGAATCATACCAATAACACGACGACGGGGTCGGTTACAAAGCGATTCGTTCAATCAGCTTGATTAAGCAATCCCTTTTTGCCGCTGGTGATTTCCAACTGGCAATATAACTGCGCTTTCCAAATGACGAAATCTTATCCGATCCGTGGGATAAATCTGTGATCTCTATTATTAATTTCCGGCTGTCGATTCGACGTCGATGATTCGCGAACAGAATTAAATCACGCGATCTGATAAAGTCTTGCGAAACGCGAGACGATGTATGCGAGTAATTTCTATTTCATGTAACGAATGGATTTTGAATTTTGTGCGCGTTAAAATCATATGAGCAATTCCTTTATATCAAAACGAACGGAGACAATTGATTTTTTTTCTATTAAATTAATATTAATTAAGTTTAACTATGTTTACATTTCAAATATTGTCTACATCAATACAGACTATATAAGTCTTGATTTAAAATCTTTTTCACTTTTCATTTATAAAATAAATCTACATTATACTTTGATACTCTTTACATTATTTTATATTATTATTTTTTATCTTTTCACATATATGTAAAATAATATATATGAGGTGGCGATAAAAATTATTTACGTGAAATTAGGACTACGAAAGGACTATTCGCATTTGATAGTGAAAGATTTAAAAGTTCTGAAGGGAATCGCATGTTTAAATGTTCGTTAACATGGCCAAATCATGCTTTTTCCCGTCGTCATCTCGTCGTCAAACGTCCTGCCAGATTTTACCGAGAACTCATTTTTTTCAAAGGTTAATAAGAGTCTTCTTTCGAAGGTGAACACGAAAGGAATACGCGATTCGCTTGATGGCTGCTTCGCTGCCAGACCTCTTTAGAATTTTCCTTCAAAGAACGAACGAAACGAAACGTCCAAGGAATAAGCAAACTTTGTAAACTGTTTTACTATATTCTGCTTTAAGCGACTTTGCACGATACTAGATATCGTTTGATAAAGTTTCTATTAAATTGAAAACAAAATTCTCACATTCGTTCGCTTAAATGCTTGTTTTAGAAATCATATTTCGAAAGCTTATAAATCACTCGATTAATACTAATATTAAGTCGTAAAATTTGCACCTATGTTTCATAATTACAGATATATTATAATAGACCAAATTGGAGTTGATTTTTTTTTAGCAAAAATGTCGGACGTCACATTTTTTGCAAATTTCCAATTTTTTCTTTTATATTCTTTGTAATAAAGTTTTTAAATTGCAATTCTTTCTCTGTAAAATTGCTTAAAGAATATAATTTTGTTAATTTTTTTGACACTATAAATGCAAAAACCCTCGTCTCTTTCAATTAATTGTAATTTAAAAATTATTGTATCGATACCGAGAAAAAAATCATCTCTAAATTAGAATCTGTTATTAAAAAAACATTTAATATTTTCTGGCTACCCTATAGTCTCTACTATTTTAATAAAAAATATGCTTTTGGACATATTATTAATTTATTCGAGAAATATGAATGGCTGTCCTTTTATATCAGTCATGTAAAGGTTTTCTGTGAGATGAGTGAGTTTCGTTTAGCTCTAATGCGGATGCATTATACAAGTTTAACATTAATGTGCAGTCGATCATTGCGATAACACGATGAGCAATGGGTTACAAAGAATAATCAACGACGCGAATGATGCGCGAACCATTAGTGTCAGTATTGATAAAAACTGCCTGGCTAAACTAATGGTAATGAATTGCTATGTTTTGTGAAAACGGGAGTTTGAAGCTACATGAAAGCATTCGGTGATATTGCAATGAAAATCAATGAAATAACGTGAAATATTTGAACTTTAGTTGCATACGACAGAATTAAAAATTTCTTTTCACACATTATCTTATCATCTGTATTTATTCACCTAAACGATTTTATACACTATTTGAATGCAAGTTTAAAATACAACTATTTGTTTCGGATGTAATCGATTCAAAATTGTCACCCACGTTCACATTTCAATTAAAAAAATTGAAAAAATATAAGAAAATACAAATAATATTAATCGTAATTATTAATGACGATTTAATGCGTAATTATATAATTATCAACGAGTTAAGCGATTGATAATATTATATATTATAATATTATATATATAATTAATAATATATTTTTTTTATATTATATATATAAATAATAATATATTTTTGATATTATATATATATATAATTAATAATATATTTTTATTCGTGTGCACGTGCGTTGAACGAGAAGAAGCGATGGTTCTTTGAGATGTCCAATAAAGAAAAAAGAGGCAAAACTTAAGAAGTTGCGCCTCTTGGTGGGAAACGAGTAATAGTGGAAAGAGGAACGACTTGACACGGGGGTGAGCATCGTCGAGAGTTTAAGATAGCCGGTATGGAGCTGGATGAATGTCGACGAACGACGAACGAGGGTTGAGACACTTTACCGAGGAAATATGAAAAAAAAAAAAAAAATCCGGCGGATGCCCTTTTATGCGGTGAAAGGAGGAAAAAGAAGAATATGCCTGATGAAGGAAACTATCCGACTCGGAGTTAGAATGTATAGAATTAACATTTCAACCTCTTGTGATTTTATTAGCACTCT